GTTTGCCTGTTTGGTTGTTTCAGTCGTTTTTTTCAGGAAATTCACATAGCTTAACAAAAATGGCTACCCCGTCCAGATAGTAACTAACCCGTTCGAAGGCGTGTGTTGAGAGTTTTACGGGTGACCTTTTCCCCTCAGTTTGGCAATAGGAGTAGTGCAGCGTTTTTTCTGCCACATTGGTGTTCCCTTTCCACTCTTTCGGATACCATCACCCCTTCTGCGCTTGGAGAGCAGGGTACCTCCGCGTACGATTATATACGATAGTGTACGTCTGTTTGACTGCGTGTCCTGCTGCTGACCGCGATGTGCGCGATCGGTACGGCACGACAGCAGTTTGATCCTGCCCTGCCCTGCTGCTGACCGCGACGTGCGCGTTGTTCCGCGCAGATGAAGTTCCACCGACACCTGGCCTACACCCTGGTTCTCGGCCGGGAGAACTCGGGGTTGCCCCTGGACGTGATCGGCGAGATGGACGTGTGCTGCCAGATCCCGCAGCAGGGTGTGCTCCGCTCGCTGAACGCCCACGTCTCGGGAGCGATCATCTTGGCCGAGTACTCTCGCCAGATGTTGGTGGATTCTTAGTTAGTAAAGCACACACATGCATACATACATGCAGGAGGGGCGGGTAGGGAGCCTCCAGGGGAGGAATCCTTCAGTGTGACCATGGCCACTGATTGGAGCATTGGAGCGACGGTACCTCCTACCCGGCAGAAATACATGCCTGCCTGTGAGCGAAAATATGAAAGGAGTGAAACAAACAAACAAACAAAAACGAGAAGAACACACAATACAAACCGTTCGACATTATATTGTACCCCGTTTAAGAAAGAAGGAATGTGTTGGAATCTTTACACGGTGAGCATTGAGGGACATTTGGTGGATTCTGGGACGTTTTTTTTTTACGTTGGAACCGCTTGCGGACAGGCGGAATGCACCGGACGCTGTGATATTTTCTTTTTAACTGCCCGACCGGAGCGGACTGTTCCCAGGAGAAAGAAAATGGAGTAAAAAGCCCAACAATAATCGCCACTCAGATGGGCCACCCGTACGTACTCCATGAGAGAGGGCATTAAGAGAGAGGCATTAAGTGCCCGCAGGGTCAACACCACGGCGGGAGGGGGCTCGTCCGGCGTGCGTTCTGGCGAATCGCTCTGCATACCTTCTTTCTCGAATTGTTTCTCCAGGTTTGGTGCATTTCCCTCGCGTTTGAGGTTTCTGCCCGCGGGAGAGCAAAGAGAACTTGAGATTACTCTGTCGAAAAGATCCTCCATTTATCTGTCACGTCAAAGACGTCAGTCATAGATTTTGCGCCGAGAAACTTTTCCCAAGGGTAGTCTACAATTGATTGTTGTACATAGAGATGACCGTGTTGGTTTTTCTAAGGAAACTACCTATCTAATAATTTCTGCTCGTGTGTAGACCACGAGTCTGTGTAGAATATGTACTACGTCGGCTGACGGAGGGAAGGGAGTGCTAAGGAATTTGTGCGTCCTTTGGACTTTTGTTCCAGTTAGAGATGATTAGTGTGGCCCTGTAAGATAAACATGCGAGCACCCCAAAGTTGTGTCTGTCGAACCACTCTCAAATAGAATGAACAGCCAAGCACGCTGTCTAGGTCCTAACCGAAAGGACGGTTGGTTGTGTTTCAATACTGGTGCGGACATATAGACTAGTGGGCAGTCAAATGCTTCCCGAGATCAAGGCCAAACTGCCAGTCCTCAAGCTGATGAAAGGATGCAAATTGTCTTGGAATATTATTGCGCACGGCCCTTTTCCTCTCTACTGTACCTATGGACGTACTCAGAAGAGAAAGTACCCTCTGCGGTATATCCTTTGCGGTTGTTGTTGTTGTTGTTGTGAGCGGTTGTTGATGTTGTTGTTGTTGTCTTCACATTAAAAACCGTTCCGGTCTCCACTCACATCAGTACCTCCTACAACTGTCCGTCTGTACTATACTATACTATACTATACTATACTATAACAGTACAACTGACGCGGACACCTTCCGTGGTCACAAGACAACTCGCGTCACAAGTCTGTATTCTGTCCTATCGTTCGTGAGTTTGTTGCGATGACGACACGCAGTTCTTCGCGGCGCCAGAAGAGGGAGGGGGGAGGGGGGGCGAACGAGAATCGGACAAAATATTGCACGAGGCGTTTCCTCAAAGAGGCGGCAACATGAATCTTGCTTATGGAATCAAATTAACCGCGGAGGACAAGTCAGCGATGGACGTGTGGGGCAGGTGTGGGGTGTACTTGATTATGCCACATGTGTCTTTCTTGTGTAATCTTCGCAAGAAGGACGGCAGTGATAGCTCCTCCGTGATTTGGAGGCAGGCGTTACAAGTTGAAGAATGTTACTGTTCGCTGAATAGTCTATGTCGGTTTCGATTTTGCAAAGTTCCCGTTCGTCTTCACCACCAACAGCAGCAGCAGTGTTGCTCCGTCATTGGATATGTCATTGGATATTTTGAAAAAACTATTTATCGAAAATGCACGTCACAATAAAGTGAGAACAAAGAGAGACCCTTTGTGGAGCAACAGGAAAGAAAGAACGAAAGAGAGGGCAACCGCTACCTTCTACAAGGTATGCATGCTCGACGTCAGACAGATGCTACCGGACTACTGTAATTCATTGGGGTACCAAGTAGACTACACGTTCGTTCATACACCGATGTATGTAGTCATCTTCTTGATGTGTGTCGTCGACCTAAACATGCAAGGCTTTTCTCGTTGTTTGCCCAGCACCAAGCTACCTCGCTACCGTGAGAAAATTCCGCGGCCTGCCGCCAGGGAAAGCTATCTCGTTAGTAGTAACCGTCTGGGGTCTCATCCATCAAAGTTCTTGCGCTTCGGAGATTGTAGAGCATGCCGTCCGGGACGGCAGCACACCAACCAACACCGACTGTGAGCTGGCCATGAGAAAGGCACGAAGGTCAACAACAACGCGATGTGTAGGTGAGTGCTTTGGGCCACGTTGATAACCAAAGTGTGTCAGAGGCGTGCTTAGTTCGGCACGGCTACGATTCCAGGATGGCCGGAAACGTTGTGGATGCAAAGCAATGTCTGCTGTAAGCTCTTATGCTGACGAAACTGTACGTACTGTAAGGCATTTTCGTGTCTACGAGCACATTTTATGGGCGGGCGCAAAAGCGGAGCCAACCAAATGGTTTGCACCACCCACCACACGTACGTATCGCACAAATCCCCTCGACTACGGCGGTGGTATTCCTAATACTTTGCCGGGCAGGTCTGGTCCGTCCTATGTACGCCTAGTTTTCGCGACACCTCGCCGGGCATTTGATAAGTATGGTGATGTTTGAGTGCAGCTTGCACCCAAACAGTTGATGTGAGCTGTTGTACACGTCACAGTTTGGAACATGTATCGGTCGTTATCTCAAGACAATACACCTGCACTGGAGAGTTCCTGAAAGATGTTAGGTGTAGGTTCGTTCGTGATTCTCTGTCTCTCGGCGTCTAGGAGATAATAACCATCTGCAGTAAATACTCCAGTGTACACAATAATTGGTGTTGCTCTGCCAAGTGGAACTATTTGGAGCAGGCGAAATGATCAATCGTGTCTAATCTCGAATGGGATGGCGTGGGCGAAGACGAGCGCCGCTGCTGTGATGCAGTGAAAGAACATACAGAGTATAAATTAGGCCCATGGCTTCTGCTGTCTTTCCTTATACCAGAAAAACTTTGATGATACACATGCTACTCGTAGAAATGATGAACAGAACGCCCTGAAACAACGTTGTTGGGGGTGTCTCTTTCAGCGTTTAGGAACGGGAAAAGGAGACAGTAGTTGCCCCGGCCCGAAAGACCAGGAACAGCCAATGGCCATGGCCTTTTCACGACTCGACAATGAACAACAACAACCACAGCAGTGACTGACTCTGGGCTGAAGACGTATTTCCCTTCCTGTACGACGAGCAGCTTCTCTCTCCCCCCCCCCCACCTAACCTGGTTGGTCAACCCCTCTGACTGCCGCAACATTTCCTATTGAACAAACGCTGCCGCAACAACAACAACAACAACAGTCCTTGTCCGCCCCAGCTACACGATGCGCGCCGCGCGTTGATGGGGAGCGGCAGGAGGAACAACGCCGCGCACCCGAGCTACGAGAGCCTCGACGCCTTCTTTTGCGGCTGCTTGGAGCGCGTGGAGGCAGCGTACGCCACGCTGAACAAGGCCTTCAAGGTGAGAACGATATCTTATGCTTACGTAGTCTGCATGTCAATGTGTTGTCTTGTTCTGGTTTCACAAGGCGTGAGATGCTCCGACAACTATATATATATGTACATGGTCAAGAGCGGAATGTATCTCTGACGGACGCGTAAGACGAGTACATAATATATTCATATCCCGGGCTCTGTTGTGCGATTGGTTGTTTTGTTCATGGTTGCTTCCGTCATTTGTTTGTCTGTCGCTTTGCACGCGTTCTCCCGGACCAAACCCACGTTGACTTACAAAGTTTGCACGACACTCTATATCCTATCGGACGGGCGGACTTGGCGCGAGCACGGGACCGATTGGTAAACGGACGCGCGCGCGTGCAAAAACTAATTTTCAAGTCTTTGCGTGCGTTCGTGTTGCACGGATGCAACCTGCTCCGTCCGTGCGTGTCGAACACAAGAAGATAAGGGTCGAGTGCTGGATCGCCAAGCTCAACGGCCCGTACCCGCTGCCCAACGTCGCGTGGCGAAAGAACCGTAACGCCTTCGCCGCTCTCCTCGCCCGTGCCGTGGAAGAGGTCGACTTCAGAGAGCCGTTCGATAGGCGCCCCCCAGGTGGGTCGAGTGCTCCTCCTCCCTCTGCCTCAACAGGGGTGCGCGCGGACGCCGTCGCCCCCCCCCCCTCCGTGTGTGGCGCCGCCGCCCCTCCGGGGTTAATCGCTTATCTTCCTTCCCTGGATCATTTGTTTTCGGCTTGACGCCGCGTGTTTGATCAGGTGTTGTTGCAATCAAGTTCAGCAAATCGAGCGTGTTTTACGAAACCTGCTGTGTCCTATTCTTGTGCCACCGTCTGTCTCACTGGACACTTCACTATTATTATACCACACCCGCCTTGACTTGACGTTAGTTGGCGCTCTGTATTCGATCTTTCGCGACGGCAGAGGGGAGTTTGCCCACCCTGGCGCCCCACCTCCGAGCCCGCATTCCTGACCGAAACCCGTTCCAACGAACTGGTAGCGACTTCTGGCTGCGGCACAGAGCTTGGTTGGATACTAGCGTGAGTCGCCTCAAGTACATGTGTATTACGAGCTACTGTACCGCTGGACGAAGATCGGAGTGGGATGGGGGGGACTGGTGGCGGGGGTTGTATGGCGTGCTTTCACGGTACATACGCAGGGAAAGAGTGCCTTCTCTGAAGTACGTATCACGAAGTATTACTGTATAGTCTTCGTTGTTCGAAACATACCCTCCGTGTTACTGGGAAACCCAGCGACGACATGTTTCAGCCCCACTCGAGGAAGGTTGGCGGCTGCTGCTGTGGCAGAACGAGACCCTCTCTTTCGATACAGACACCGCGGAGATGTCTCCCGCAGACCACCCCCCCCCTCCCCCGCCCCCCGCCCGTGAAACGTCATCCAATCGATCAGCGAGGCCTTTCCGGGAGAGATTTCGCCAACGAGGCCGCCGAAGCGTCCCGTACTTTTCAGCCGACAAGAAGAGGGTCACCATCGCCAACGAGCCAGGACCCCCGGTTCGCGTCACCCGGGTTGCAGGGGGGAGGGCACGACGCTACCGCCGACACCACCGTCATCGGCGGTGGCATCACCAGCGGGATTACTACTACTGCTGGCGGTTGTTGCGGCGCCACCGCGGCTGCCCTTTCGCCACTCGTGCCGCCACCGCCGCCGAACCCCTCATCCCCGAGAATACACAGTGGCGGTGGCAGCGGCAGCGGCAACAATAACGCCGCACCGTGTGCCGCCGCCGCTCGAGGTCCCTGCGGCACCCGCACCACCAAGAGCAAGAGGTGTCCGTGCGACCCTCTTGGAAAGGCGGGGTTCGAGGGGGGGGCTGGGGGGGCGCCGCGCGGAGGAGGAACAGGCGGCGGAGTGGAGGCAGCGGGAGAAAGGGTGGGGTGCGGGCATTGCGGGTGTGACGGAGAGAGAGTACGGGTGAGGGGAGAACGATGGGCCGTTCGTTGGGTTGCCTGATGCAAGGAAACACCGTACGCATTGATTGATCGTTCTTGTTGTACTGTAGAATTAATTGTGGTATTGTGTTCTGAGGCGGGTTTCGGTCTGGCGGGCACACCACCACCCGTCGGCACGGGCATTGGTACCTTCCTTGTCAGGTTGTGGTATCAGAAACACGCTCGATGCGATGGTTAAGCTGTCGCCGCGTTGGCAAGGCAAGAGCGTATGATCACATCTATACACGTCTATCTGTACTCCGTTCGCCTCTTTCTTGCTGTCTTGTCTGAAAAAATACTCGCGGCAGACAACAAGTAGATGCAAACTCACAAAAATACCCCCCCAAAAAATTGGAAAGCACATTATTTTTCGGAAGAGAGGGCAATTGCTGGCTGGCTCCATGTCACGCGAGTTGTACGCTTGGCCAATACTCTGGACACAAAACCACGGCCAACGAAACACAAGAACGACCGTCTGCGCCTATACCTTGTATACAGCACGCCCTTACGGTCTAATGTCTTGTTTTCCCCACATCCTTGGATTCTTTGTCCCAAAACAACCACAACAACAACAACAACCAACAACAACGCGACACGACGCATCCAGGCCCTTCAGACGATGGTCAGGGAACAAGCCCTCCAGCTCGCCGCTCTTCGCCTCCAGCAAGCGTACCGGGGGAGGGCCCAGGCGGCAGAGCTGCAGCGTGTACGGCACGTGAGTGACCATGCGGTGAAGGACTGGGAACGAACGAACGTGCAAGGTTTATTTATGCTCTTTTTCCAGCCTGTAGAAGAACGGAGCTACTACTGTAGCTAGCCCGCAACACGCAGAACGTACACAGATGGACGCTCGCCGGGCTAAGCAAGGTGGAAGCACAGACCGGTCGCGGACTGCAGGGAGGATAAATATTGATTGTTTTGTGTGTCATCGCCTTCCTGGATAAAACGCGAAACGAACGGGCAACAACAAAAAGAAAGGGGGAAAGGGCGTTCGTTGCGCACGCCCGCATTCATTCATCCCACACGTTGCAAATAGTGCGGCGGAGCAACACGTTGCTTGTTTTAACCAACGCCGCCGCGTTAGACGAACGAACGGGAATTTCTCATGGACAGATAATACGTAAAGCGCCATCCCGACCTACCTGCAGGCATATGTTCGGGGCACGGAAGGGATTGCAAGACTACAGCAAGATGAGGTGCGAGTGACGGTGGGGGGGGGAGGTGTACTCATTGCAGCGCAAGCTGCGTAGTACTTGTTAGACCATTGACCTCGCATCCTTACACAGCCGGGACGGATCACGCCGGGTTCTCACCGCACCAGGCCCTCACACCACCAAGCGCGAAGCGCCGTGAGGTATTCGGCGAGTCGCATGGAGGGTGCACTTCATCCTGCTAAGGGGTGGGGGGACTGGATATCATCATATTACAGTATGTAGTATTTCCTCTTCTGAGACAAACGATTGCCGCACAACAGCAACGCCATTCACCACCCAGACAACCACCACCACCGACAACAATGAAGAAGGTGATCTCCACACAACGCTACGTAACACCGTTATCTATGCGTAGGTCATCAATGACGAAGGAAAATCTTTGCTTCCTTCCGGCCTTGCTTCCTTCCTGTGGCGCGCAGGAACGTTGCCGATTGACGTCGGTTAGGCTGGAGGAGATGCTAGCGAGGCGGGGGGGACGAGAACAGCAGAACCGCCAAGCAGAAGAAGACCAAGATGCCTCTTCTTCTCCACGTCCACCCCAACTCAATCCGCCGCTGCCAGGGTTGTCCAAGGTGAAAAGGCTACTACATTCATCATTCAGTATTGAAAAGATCAGTATTTGTTCGTAACAGGCATCGCGTGGGCCAAAAACAAGATCAACAAGCAATCCAAAATATTGTAAATAAATACACAACAGAGGGGAATCCAACAACAGCACAGCCAGTACACCAAAAATGACAACAACAAACATCTTTCCTTTTTGTTGCAGGAAAAGCTGGGATCGGTCATTCTTCTTGATGTCGAAAAATCGTCCCTTCACGGCGGATTATTTTATTGCGCAGAACAGTCTACTTGTAGATGTTGCTGGGATGGCTATTAATAATAGCGTTCGGATACATACATATATATATATATATGATCTTTATAACGCCATATTTCTCCGACCCCCTCCCCGGATCGTCCTGTCTGTGTTCTTTCTCGGGATTCAACGTTCGTTCTTGACGCCAATCAATCAATCAATTCGTTCGTTCTACGCGAAGAAGGGTGCTGCCGCAAATTTGAACGTGGATCTCGAGCGCCGGCTGGACAGGTTCCAGGAGGATGCCCGAGTGTTGGTCGGCGTTGCGAAGCAGCACCATCACCAATCATCAAAACCCTAGATAGAGCAGAGGCCGCACGATATGAAAACCGTCAGCTGAAACAGCCTACACAAGACAGTTATAAGAGTAGGCACCTTTCTTTTCCTTCCTGGAAAAAATGCTTGGAGGAATGATTTGAGTATGATTGATTACAGCTCCTTACTATCACGTTGATTGGCGTCGTCGCGGTGAGATGTAGAGGAGGAGTGGTGGTATGATTTTGGCCACGGATCGGGGTTGGTTCAAGCCCCCCCTCCCACTTAAAGATAATAAGCGGTATGGGACGAAACAGATTATTACTTATGATGATGATATGGGAATAACTGAGTGAGTGAGTGGTGGTGACGACGTGATGATGCTTCGATTGAAAATCCTTTCGACAGAAGCAAGTCGACGCCTGGTATTTAGTAGATAGTGTAGGTCCACCGCCGCGATCTCGTGCGTGCACGTAGCTTACGCGAGCTGAAAGAAATTGAGCGCGGTAAAAACACGCCTGCCTTCAACAACCGCGGACCAAAAAAATCAAATCTATGTAGTAGGTGCTGCTGTTGTTGTTTCCGGTAAAACCAAATCCTATTCGGAGTGGAATTTGGCAGCAGAGAAAGAGATTATTAGAAGAAGAGCTCTCGATTGATTTACGCGTTCATACAATTGTTAAGGTACAGTACCAGGTTGTTGGTAGCTAAGGGCCCCCGGCTGATGGAGGAGGAGGAGGGTGATAAACTGCTTCGTTAGTAGCAGAGACATCTGAGTAAGGATCGAAATCTTGTTGCGTAGCCCGGCTATGCTACAACCCCCAACGTTTCAATTGGCGAAGTGGCGGAATAGATGCAGGCACCCAAGGGTTCTCAGGGGCTCCGCAGAAACGAGAGAGAGAGAGAGAGAGAGAGAGAGAGACAACACAGATGGACATGGACATGGACGGACATGACTGACTCCGCACGCATGCATGCATGCATGCATGCGTTTTATGTTGTAAAAAATCGCGCATTGGTTCCTTTGACTACAAGTGAATACCATCACCAACGGACTTGAAAAATATCATCCCATTCTTCCCTCCCCCTGTCTGTCCTCCCGCCCAACCGCAGAACGACGCCACCCCCCTGTCTGGCTAGTAGAAGTGGTGCTGCAATGTAACCTCACACGATTGATTGATTGATTCCATCGAAAAAAAAAATCAAGTATATACGGTACGCACGCCTTGCGTGACGGCTCGGAGTTACCTCGCTTCAGAAGCAAAATACCAATACAACAGCGTGGCAGCGCCCTAGCGGCAGCGATAGTAGCCATGAAAAAATATCAAAATCAACGCAGAGACTATCATCCGTCCCCCCCCGCCCCCCGCCCCGCCGCCCGCTCTGCTTCTTTGGGCTTAGACGCGCACGGTACATTACTTTAAATATTACACAAGGCTCGATTGATCCATTTCCTGGCCTCGAGTGCGCGCCTCTTCTTTCAGCTTTCTTTTCGCCTCGACTCAAACATACAGTCAACAAGCGAAGGAGGAAAGCCACTCACGGGGCGAACGACACTCGATCCAGGTCTAACTCGACGCTTTGCACCAACCTTTCTTTCACCAACCCTTACAACCCAAACCCCACTCACCCACAAACGACCTCCCCCGCAACCTCCCTAACTTACGTGTGCGCCCACCACTATTCACCTCTCATCATCAAACCAACTCAAAATAACCCGCCGGTGCCGTCCTTCAGGTCGTCGTCATCTCAATTCACCACCTCTTCTTCATGCCGTCAGCCCTCTATCGCCCACAACAAAGACCGTGCTCATGAACATGAACATAACACTGCTACAATACAGCAGTAGCGTTAACCACGATGCCCCCACAACAAGCTGGGGGGAGGAGAAGCGTTGGTAACAAACCAAGAACCGTAAACCACCTCCGGCAGCCAAAAACACCCACTATCCGACCCGCCCAGAATAAGGGGCACGCACTTGACCGGAATGAATGGGGTTGGGTGAGTGGGTAGGGTGAGACTAGAGACCAATAAGGGGGGGCGTGTGGCAACGGGTCGGCGTACCATGACGAAACATGAGCAGCAGCAGCAGCAGCAGCAGCGAGTTATGCCCACGTTTGGTCTTGCAACAGCCGATCAAGCACTACAACTACTCCCCCCATCTCTCCAATGTATCCCCCCAAAGAGCCGCTCCCCGTCGTGTCCTTACCCTACACTTGCTTGACTCGGTTACTTCAAATCGCAGGGGAGCGGCGAGGGCAGAGGAGGTCCAACGCCGCTCGCTCCACCGCCCCGCGCACGTACGTAGGTATGCAACGCACCACAGCCTTTTGACACTCGAGAGAGAAAAAATTAACGCCTGTTGCCGTCCGCCGGCGTACACACCTATAGTTCATAAACACACACACGCACACACTTTTACCACCCAGATCTCACGTATGCACAAAAGCAATAAACGTGCCACAGAAACAGAATAAAACAGACCGACCAAACACTCAGCCGGTCAGCCTACAGCCTAACACCATCATGGTCATAAATAACTAGATAAGGCCTGGGGCCAAGCCTCTTTAATTATGGCTACAGCGAACAGACAGAACCTACAAGGCACCAGCCAGAAACGAAAAAAAAAGAAACAAGAACGAACGATAGGGCAAGGAAGAGAGAAACAGGAAAAAAAATACAGATCAGGACGAAATGTCGCGCATCGCTCGCAACAGAACAAAATGTGCCAGAAGCCGGTACTAAATCCAGGGCTAAACTGCCCAGCCAAACAGACCACTACCGCGACCCCATGTTTCTCAAATCTCTGTAGGCTCTACCCACCAGCGCTCCGGCACAGCAGCAAGATTAACGATTCTATCAAAACTCGTCACCCGGACACACGCCGCGGTCAGGAGAGAAAGCCGGAGACCCCGACTCTCCCGCCAACCCCGACCCCATCCACTCATTTTCTGCGAAACCTGTTTCCATCACGAGTCAGCATGGTTTTGTTGAGGTTTCCTCTCGACAAACATCTGAAGCCCTCTCGCTGTCGCATAATCTTGCCTGCACGGCCACAGGCACACCAGCGCTTGAGCAAACTACCGCGCTGTGATACGAGAACCAGGGTCATCACCTAGCTATCCCCCCGCCCCGCCTCACACTCCACCTCCAACACGAGGGCACTTTACATTGTCTTTTCCCATCGCTGTGGAGGGAAGGGTGGCTGGAGGGAGAGGAGGGGTAGGACGGGGGTAGGTATAAGCCAATCCACGTACGAACCAAACACAGTGCAAAAACTCCAACGACACACGTCGAAGATGATGAAGAAACCACCGAAAAGAAAAAGACAGCATGCAAATGAAACAAAACGCACCTTAAACCCAGAGCGCCTGACGCCGCACGTACCAAGGTTATCTAGACCATCAAACAGGCTTGGACCTTTCGACCCCCCCCCCCCCCCCTCCCTCTCCTCCCCCCCCCTTTTAAAAAAATAAAACCCTTTTTCATTAATCCAATTAAACCCCCCCCCCCCCCCCCCCCCCCCT